TTAAATGCCGTAATAAAGAAGGCACAGTGGTTAGTGTAGAACTGGGACTTGGGAGGTCCAGGTTGTAGCCCTCATTCACCCATGAAGCCCACTGGGAGACTTGGGACCTGTCACTGAGTTGAAGCCTTATCAACTCACAGGGTTGTTGTGAGACTAAAATGGAGGAGGATTATATAAGCTACTTTGGATTCCTTGCCAGAGGAAAAAAGGGTGGGGAATAAATGCAATAATAATAATTCATCATCCTCACCATGCACTGTCTGTGGAACTGAGTATCTTACTTGGAATGGGTAGAATTGATTGGAATAAATATTACTTTTTCTATTGAATAGAATAGATGATTATCTACCAGATCAAATAATGATCAGATCAAATAATGTTCATTGAACTTATGCAATATGTTACTATAAGGGTTCAATTCTTATCAGAAGCTTGCAGGTGAGAATGGAGCCAGAGTGGTATGGTAGTTAAGAGCTCAGGACTGGAACTCAGGAGACTGGAGTTCTAGTCCCTGCTTGGCCATGAAGCCAACTGGGCTTCATGTTGGGCCAGTCACAGTCTCTTAGCCCAGCTAAAAGGATGTTTGACAGTCACAAAAGGGCACTCACAGGTGGGGACAGCAGATGGTGAGTGGCAAGGAGGCTCCCACAAGCGATTGCAGTGGCAAGTTGCAAAATAAACTCAAAGAGCTGCATGTGGCTCCCAAGCCTGGGTTTGGCCACCTCTGTAATCCAGTGACATCAGGCCTTCTCAGTGGTGGCTTCATCCCTGTGGAAAACCCTCCCCTCTGCAGTTTGGGAGGCAGAAAATATGGCAAGTCAAATGCCTCCTGAAAGCCTTGTTCACGTAGGCTTTCTCTGGCTTACGATAAACCGAAATGAATTATATGCTGCTCCGTCTCCATCAATTGCTTCGTACCATTATAGTAATTGGAATCGTTTTTAGCAATCTATTTTAAATGTGATTTGAATATTTATACATGAACCGCTCAGAGATTTTATTTTGCCATATTTATGCAGGTGCCATGAAAAGAAGGATCACAGATACCAAGCAGGATAACAATCGGTTGCAGCTGCAGCTGATGATTGTCTCCAGTGTGGTTCTCACTGGAAACTTCTAAGGGCCCGCTGGGCTAAACCCTGTGAACAACAAAAAGTTGGTGTCCATTCAGAAGTACTTCTGTTCTGAGTGATCAAAAAGGATAATCGTCCAAAAGGAACCCTGATTATCTTGACCTTTCCCCTTTGCAATTGTCTCTAATTAACCTACGGACAAACCTTAACTCTTATTTTAAACCTGAAGAGCAAGCAAAGGAAGGAGAAGAGATGCACTAGAGTCTGAAACCAAAGCACTGCTGTGAGCTTTAAAGATAGCATAAATCACTACTTTACAATGATGTCCTTTGACTGCGTAATTTAAAAGAAAGGTTCAGCTGTTCACCCCCACACTACAGAGGGTTGGGGGTAAGAAAGAGAAAATAGAGAAGTGGAATTGGAATGTATCCTGTTATGTGTTTAGTGTCAACTAATTGGATGTGGAATGTACTTCTTAAAGTAACTATAAACAATTACTTCTATTGATTTCTACATGGACAACACAAGGGCTTAATCACATATGACATCTGTCCTGGGTCTTTCCAGGTGTCTAGTCTAGTGTTTATGGGAAAGATTTTTGGTAATGGATATTAGACAAGCTAAACCTTAAGCTCAAATTGCTGTTCCTATCACCATTCAGTCAAATTTGGGAAGGGAAGATTGCACATTTATTCCCGCTAAGGGACCAGCAGGAGCAGCACATGGGGCAGAGTTATTGTTGTTCTACAACTACAAAGCGAGCTCTGGCAGGTTGTGCTTCTAGCCTTCACATTTTCTCCACTGATCAGCGCAATATGTGGAAGAATCAATAATCCAGTGCTATTTATTTATTTATAAATATATGTATAGGTTGCCTAAACTGCCGAGGCCTTCCTAGGCAGCTTACAATACATAAAACATATTAACAAAACAGAACACATTAAAACCCATCATAACACGACAAATTAAACCATCTATGCAAGTGATGTAAAAAGGGCCACAGCATTCAGGCCAAGTGTCAAAAAATTTCTTAAAAAGGTATGTCTTTGCCTGGCCCCAGAGGGAAAATAAAGACGGCGCCAGACCAATTTCCCTAGGGAGGGAGTTCCAAAGATGGAACTGATATGATTACGAATGACCAAAATGTACCACATACACAAGTTCATGCTTCTTTTACATGGGATGAAACCAGAGTTGCCCTTGAAAATTTTAACTCCTCTCCTAATCCTCAATTAGGTAGTAGGCTAAACAGAAGTAATTCAACAGAACGTTGCATAGTTATGAAGATTCAGAAAACTACAGCAGCCTCTTCACATTCTTGCTGGGATGGATGAGTGCTAAAACTCAGGATCCCTCATACACAAGCAGAACTCCCCAAGATCCCCCTGCACAACAGCCCTGCCACCTCAGACCCACAGCCAAGGTCTGCAGAGGAGCTCTACTTGCATATGCTCGAGGAGCACGAGGAGAACTTGCACTGCGACTGGGGACTGTTTTCTTAGCGTGTGTGCAGACAGCTAGCATCAAGCAGATGAAGAAAGAGCTGATCTAAGTTTGCCAGCATAATTTGTGGCATGGCTCATGCTCTGAAACATTTTAAGCAGTGGTATACGTATTCAAGTGCTTCTGAGGACACAGAGCAGACTTCTCCTCTCCACTGAGTCATCCCAGGCAGTTCTCTCTCATCTCAGATTATGAAGAGGAGCTCCCATGTCAGGGGATTACTGTAATCATTCCATCATTTCTAGTCAGGTTGGAGCCCTAGGAGCTGGCTCCTTTGTCAGGGCTGAGTTGCAAGCAGCTCCCAGTGGCTGAGTCAGGAAGTGAGATCTGATGTTCACACAGGAACATACCAGAGCCAGGATGGCTTTGTTGTTTTTCCAGGCGTCTTGCTCATGTGCTTTCAAAGTACTTTAGGAAAATACATGATGAAGAGGAGTTCATAGCCCATCACCCTCCTAGTATACTTCCATCACCCTCTATTTGTGGATAGTGGCTTTCTGAAGAGGAAGGCCTGCATCTTTGGAGGCTCTCTAGGCAATGGAGAAAGTCCTTGATTCACAGCTATCGGGACATTAACAGGTACAAGGGGTCTTCCCTCCAGAAAGCCACCCCCCACAAGTGGACAATGATGGAAATGCATGAGGAGGGAGGAGTGGCTGGCGCTGCCCTTTTCCTTGAGTATTGCCTTTAACCACATTGAGAACATCTCACTACAGACTCAGCTGAAACAAGGCTTTTTACACTTTTCCTATTTAACAGGGTTCACTGTCTGGATGGGCAAGACCAGTCCAGAGCCCAAGAATCCTTTGTTGTTAGCAAGATGATTGAAGCTGTTGGCTACCACAAGAGGAAGTCACACACAGAACTAAAGGTTTCCAGATCTATCCCTGGCAGCTTGTGACACTTCTGACATGCTCTTGGCTCCTCCACAACCGCTCCCTCCCCTCCCCTCTGCATACTAATGGGTACAAACAAAGGCTTATTTTTTCCAAGATGGAGGGCGCTTAGAAGGGGCATGGATCTTTATCTGTTAAAACAGATTGTAAATGGGTTCAACCTAATATTTTATGGTGATGTTAGCATTATGTTGATTTAGCTTCATACAGTTATTTTTTTCATTCTGCTCATTATTTTCAAATAGTTGGTTTTTTTCCCAAGACAAATGTTACTTTGATTTTACTGGGCCTGAAGAAATGGGGATGCTAGCTTTAAAATGTTTCATGTCAACAAATAATCCATAAAGAAGTAAACCTGAAGAAGTTTAGGTGGCAATGGCTTCATTAATTTGTTTAAAAAACACTCATAGAATTGTTACCATAATTACGCCCTTCATAGCCAAATAATCATGGAATAAAGACACATGGGGCACCATTACAAATCAGGTCAGATCATAATTTGCTTTTCTCACAAGAAAACACTGAGTATAGAATGTGTATCCAAACTGGATGCACTTCCGGGGGATAAAAGGTCACTAGATGAATGGGAAAAACTTAAATGAAACAAAACTTATACCTACCTCCAGATCATTAAAGAAGAGGTGTGTATCAGCAAGGTTGAAGATCATTTCTTCCATCATAAGCCCTATTCGGACAGACGTAGTAGTGTCCTATTAGAATGAGAAGATGTCAACCAATTTAATATTATTTTCTGTTCATATTTATTGGTTCTTGTGGTGAAATTTGTGTAAAGTAGAGTATATTGGCTTCAATTCATAAACAGACTTTCCCAATACAGCCAGTGCAAAAGGACATCCTTTCCTCAGAAATTGATCCAATATAGTCAAGCAACTTAGCAAGTAGTGAAGTTCTCCACAATGGCTTTGCTGGGTCAGCTGTATTAATGAAAGTGCTGTGCGATTTTTTTTCCTGCCATAGATTTACCTTTGTGATGAAGAGTGGAGGCCTTTACCACATCCATCCATGGTAAGCTGATCATCAGCATTCACCTATACTACTAATTTATCTTGAGTTATTAGTTCACACTATCAAAGTTATTAGTTCATACTATCAAGCCCAATGTGAAACACATTCATTCATTTTCTTACCCATATAAGTTTCATGTGCATAAGGGCTCTCTTTCAGTACCGTTAGACAGGATTTCCTGTCTAACGATTTGTGATTTGTGCTCAATTTTTATTTTTTCCTGTTTTCCAAATCAAATTTTCAAACTGTTTTCTCAATAAAACTTGAGAGGATTTGGTGAGTTACATTCTTCCTGCTGTAGGCCTTCAAGCATTACTCTTCATTAGGATGCTTGCAGAATGGAGTGCTGTTGTTCAGGATCCATTCCACCTGCCCTATAAGTGAAGGGTTCTCTACCATCTGGTGGTAGCATGAGCAAAGGGGTGGGTGCCAGCTGGCAGGAGTGCAAGTGAAGGGGCAAGCACTGGCTGGTCCAGAGCATGACTGGCTTGTTCCCTTTGGAGGGCTCTGCTACCTGCCAACTACAAAGGCAGGCCTCAGGCTCCTACCATTTGCAAGGTAGAAATACTTCTGCTTGCCTTGCAAGACAACAATGAAAGGACTTTCACTGTTTCACCTCTAGCAGTGAGGGTACAAGTAGAAGTATTTCCAGGACTCTAAGCAAAACCCTATGAGGACAGATAGAAAGAAACGGGCATGTTTAGCCTTGAGCAGAAAAGACTGGGGGTGGGGGGATATGATATCTCTCTATAAGTACCTCAAAGGCTGTCACAAAGAGGAAGGCCAGGATCTTTTCTCCATCTTCCCAGAGTGCAGGACATGGAATAACAGGGTCAAGTTACAGGAGGCCAGATTCAGGCTGAACATCAGGAAGAAATTCCTGACTGTTAGAGCAGTACAACAAAGGAACCAATGATCTAGGTAGATCCTGGTTTCTCCCACATTGGTGGCATTCAAGATGCAGCTGGAGGGATGGTTTAACTTGGAGGGTTGGACCTAGCAGAGAACAGAGGGATATGCACAGAACAGAGGGTTGGACCCAATGGCCATCTTGGCCCCTTCCAATTCCACTATTCTATAATTTTTTGCTGTCTTGGTAGGCATGTCATGAGTAGAGCCAGGGGTCAGACTAGATGGCCTGGGAAGCCCCTTCTGACTCACTCTGTTTCTATGTCTTTTTGTGGGACAGTGAAAAGGCAAAGCCAGTATCGAAAGGGCAGTCACTGATGCTTGGCTAAACTCAGAGGAAGAGGATCCTGGCTGCAGTTAAACCATTGCACCTTCTTTTCTAGGTACTGGAATGGGAATATTTTTTGGAGCAGAGTTCTGCTTCAATGGGCACACAGGTCTCTAAAATTGAAAGGAAATAGAATGTATTTTCCCCTTCTCCTGAGCAAACCCAGAATAGCAACGTAGTGAGGCAGGCCTTCACTGGGGTTGTTGTATGACATGTCATGCCTCATCATAGTTTATTTAAGCCACCACAAGCACCGTACTGAATATTCAACTACTGGTTGTCTTGTCATGTGAACCTGGCTTGCAGGAGTTATGCAACCTAGAGCAAGCTATCAGTTATCTGAAAATGTAAAAGCCGCAACAAGGCACATCATATTACGCAAGCTGTCAGTGTGTGTTCTACTTGTTATTTGTTTTTTTATGTCACTTCTATTTTTTCTTACATTCTACACCCATTTTTTTCTGCTTCAGGCTTACCCCCTAATGCAGAGACTTTCCTTTTGTAGCTTTTGTGTAGCTACATAAGCATTGGCCTTGGGGAATTAATTTGGAATTAGAATATATGATATTTCCCTTTCCACTCGGGTCTGTTTGATCTTTGAAGGTAGAAGGTGGTTTTTCTTTCATTCAACTACAAATCATGACAATACAGTACAGATTTCTGTATGTCTTGTCTTAATTTTTTTGCAGATTTCTAAGGAGTCATCTTATTACATACTAAGGTCAATCAACATATTCCATCTGGAAGAAACCTGCAAGGCAACATAATGCTCAGAGAAAGACAAAAACTGTTGACAATGGAAGACTTATTTATGCACTAACCGAATTATTACGCATTCTTGATGCAGTTGTTAATTAAAGAAGAATGGATGTGGTCTAGCCATGTGGATAACTCATGGGGACTACCATTAAAGCAAGAGAAAAATATGCTACTAGACTGTATGTGAACGTGATTGCTGACAGCAGTTATCTTTCCTTTTACTGAAGAAGTTTTCAGTCTCCTTTCCTCATATACCTGGATTGTCTTAGTGACAGTTGTGACTTTCATACAATCTACTCCCTTTTCCTTATACGAAATATATATCTGAATGCAGACCTATGCATCTTTCCAGAGCTGCATGTGTAGGGCCTATGGGTAAAGATTTCACCCGCAAGTGCAGCTAGACAGGCAAATACTTGTGTGCCCAAAGAGTTCTCTGACATCCAGCAGTGCTGTGGGGAAGGGAAAACACTTGCAGGAACAAGTGCTAACCTTACTTCTTTCCCCACAACCATTTAGAATCGTTTCATTTAGAATCACCTTACTTTTAATTTTCAAAAGGAATCTGTTAATACAGTAACTAAATGTCTATAATAATAGAATTAAAAGAGAAAGCAACCTTATTTTCTTATTCATGCTTACCAAATAGCGCCTGTACTGGCATTAATAAATAGAATGGGTGGGCAGGGTTGCTAAGCAAACCACAGTGGCTTAAGTCACGGTGCCTGCGCGCACAAGCCAGTCACAATTTGCAGACTTACCTGTGTGGGCACTGCTTGTCATGTTATCCAAGACTGGGTAGCAGGGGCAAGAGCACAGGAGGTTTACCAGATGAAGACATGGTCCTCTGGACCCTCCGCACCCAAATTATGCCACCAAAGCAAGATAATTTCATGATGAAAACCTCATCCTGAAGCACCCATTATTCTCAGTCTGAAACATGTTCTTCCCACTGGACAACTGCATCTTGAAGCAGGGCTTCCTTGCAGGCCTAACCAGAACACTCTCACATGACCTAAGTCTTGGCTTCTCGTAATATTAAGCTACCTCATATAAAGCAACCTCATGCTATTGCTTTGCCCAGCTCAGGGCCCAAACAAGCAATATTTTTGCTTTTTTACTATAGAATAAGCACATGGGTCCCAATCCAAACTGGGACCTTAGTGAGATGGTTTGCTGGGTAGAGGGACTTTACCCAGCTTTCTCATCTTGGGTTTCCAATGTGACGATGCTGGGGACTAAACCTGGAACCCTTTTTCTACAAAGTACATGTTCTGGTGCAGCTCTTCCTTTATATATCCCCATCATCCTTTCCCAAGGTTGCCTTCTCTTTATTCTCTTTTTTACCCTCACAGCAACCCTGTGAGCTAGGCAAGGCTCAAAGTCATCCAGCTTCATGGCTGAGTGGGGATTAGATCCAAGACCCAGTCCGGCAGCCTAACCACTACGCTGCACTGGCTCTCTTTTCTTGCTAATGTTAACTGTTCATTTTCATCACCAGATTCTCAGGAAAGGAGCTGTCTGGTGTTCAAATTTGGCACTAAAATGTTCTGACCTCATTGGTGGTGTCTGGATAATAGAAGTGAATCTACTCAGTCTTTTAACTAGCAGTAATATGAACAAGCATCCAGTGGTACACAGCCAAGGAAAGCAGTTAACTTTTCAGCTTTGTTAGCTCTGAAGCTGCAAAATGTTAAACTAAAAGAGAGGCCCAATACTGGAATGTGTCAGGGTTTCTTAAGAAATGGACACCCACTCCATCTTAATATCACTGATGCAAAACATGTCCAGTTTCTGCATTCTGACAGTGATGGAAACTGGCTAGATTTTAAAATTTGTCAATGTATCCAGACACACTCCATATTTCAGGTGGGGGTGGGGGTGGGGGTTCTGCTTTGAATATAGCTGTATTTTTCTTTTTTGTGAATCAAAGTCTGTCATCTGACTGCAGAAACCTCTCATGCTGCTCCCACTTTCATCTGATGTGATGTAATGCTGCTAACTCAGTTTTGTGTGAAACACCTTAAAGGAATGTCCTATATAACTGTAAGAATACCCTGTGCAGTATTCCGTGACTCAGCATTGAAAAGGTACTTTAACTTCCAGTGAGTTTAGCAATCAAAAGGATGGTTAAGAATCTATTCCTCTTCTCTTATTGACTAGTACAAGCCTCGACTGCCTACCTGTGGCTGACATGAATTAGCCCAAATCAAAGAGGGTTTCCTTCTGTTGGGCAGCATCTCCAGATGTTCTTCATGCAGTCAGTGACTGCACTCATGTGAGGATGTAGCACCATAGCAGCAAGGCTGCACCCCCAAACACTGTTCACTTAGGGACAAGCTACTCAGTATGCTAATTGTACAGCATGTATCCGAACGTATTCTTTCATGTAAAACACCATGGGGAGCCCCACCAGCAAACACACCTACACACACCTGCACATGCTCTTCAAAAGAACCGGAGTTTTGACGACTAGGTGCCTAAACTTCTGTGTCCCAGTGGAAGGAGGTGGCTTGAACTTTTCCACCTAGAATCTTTGGAAAGGGTGGAAAAGTGAGAGGAATCTGACAGGAGCAGGCCCAAGGGAAACAACAACAACTCTCCAGGATCTTGCTGCAAAGGGGTGATCCACAGTTCAATTTAGATGTTCTTATAATCATGCATAGTGAAGCTGACATGTCATGATTA